TTTATGTTGAGATTTTTTAATTGCAAAAGCAGTGTTCACCATTATTATTATAGGGGCTATTCCAACCAAAAGCATTCCAAAAATGGTTTATTGCTTGGCATTCCAGAAAGATATGGAAGATAGATTCCTCTACTTGGTTTCTACAAACAGGGCAATGGGGGTCTATATTGAGGCCAATTTTTGCCAAGTATTGTCTACAAGGAATTCTGTTGTGGAGGCATTGCTATAGGAGAAATTTCATTTTATTGGGGCATGGTAGGTTCCAAATCCATTGGAAGTCTAAATTATTCTCAATATTATTATGCAAAAGAGTGTAACAAGAATTTGTTGTGAAGATGCATTTGGTATTAAGAGACCAAGTAGGGGTGTCCCTAACGGGGGCATTACTACGTATTTTGGTTGTGACAATTTTTTTCTTAATGACAACGGGTAGGTTTAACGATATTCTATCAAGGTGCCAGTCTTTGCCATCAAAAATATTTGAAATAGTAAGCTTAAGATCAGTTCTGGAAAGGGGGCCTTCTATTGAGTTTCTAAGGCTACCTAGTTTGGGGATCCAATTGGATTCCCAAATGTTTATTTTGGAATGATGGTGCAATTGCCAAGTAATACCCTTGGAGCATACTTCCCACCCTTTTAACAAGTCTTTCCATATAAAAGATTTTTTCTTGGCATACTGAGGGTTTGCATAAGAATTAATGATAAGGTTAGTGTTGGTAATACCCCTCCAAGCTAAATTTGCTAAGGAACACACATTCTTATCTATGGCTTTGTGAAGACCCAAACCTCCTTTATCTCTTGGTTGGCATAATGTAGACCAATTAATATAGTGGAGTTTACGTTTTTCACTAGTGCTACCCCATATAAAGTCTCTTTGGATCTTATCAATTTTTTTGAGAATATACATAGGTAATAGAGTATATTGCATGTAGTGATTTGGGATGGTATTTAAACAGGAATGAGAGAGGGTAGTCCTTCCAGCTATGTTTAGGAATTTAGCTTTCCAGGAGGCAAGCTTTGCTCTCATTTTATCTATTATAAATTAGTAGTCCTTAGGGGTAGGGTGTTTGTTTAGGATGGGGAACCCCAGGTATGTCCCAAAGGAGTCAGTTCTATTTATAGCTAGTATGTTGGTAATATCTTTTGTAAGAGGCAGATGACAATTATTAGAGAAGATGACTTTAGATTTTTTTGTATTAATGGATTGTCCTGATAGAGTACAAAAAAGATCTAGCCTTTTTTTTATGGTACTACTTCATTTAAGGTTGGCTTTGGCCATGAGGGTTAGATCATCTGCAAAAAATAGATGAGAAAAGGAAGGGCCTTTTTTTCCTAAAGTCATAGGGTCCCAATTCCTAATATCCACCTAGTGATTTATGAATCTTGAGAGCATTTCGAGACATAAAATGAAAATATATGGAGAGATAGGGTCTCCTTGTCTGATTCCCCGGCTAGGTTGAAAGTATTTGGTGGTAGAACCATTTACCAAAATGGAAATTGAGCTTGTAGAGATGCAACTTAACAGGAGTTTCTTAAATTTAGAAGGAAAATTAAAGTAATTTAGGGTATGGTGCACAAAAGACCATTCTAATCGGTCGAAGGCTTTTTCAAGGTCAATTTTAAGAATCATGTGAGATTGATTGCCTTTTTGCTTATGGATTCTAGAGATAAGCTCTTGAATGGTTATGGCATTGTCTGAAGCTCTCCTATTCTTAATAAAATTGGCTTGGTAAGGGCAAATAAGGTGGTCAAGGTAGGGCTTAAGTCTATTGACAAGGATTTTGGTGATGACCTTATAGGCCGTATTGCATAGACCAATTGGCCTAAAGTTGTTTAGGTGATTTGCATTAGGAATTTTTGGGATGAGGCACAGATAGGTCTTGTTAAGTTCATTGGGGATAATTTGGGATTCAAAGATGTCATGGCACATTTTTATTACAGAGTTGTCACACCTCCTTTTGGTGGTACTGCACCCCGCGAAGGGACGTGGTAGAGGGAGTTTTTCCAATTAAAGGACAATCGAAACGGGATTTATTATTAAGAGTTGGAATCGCCACTTGAGAGATTTATGGTGTCCCAAGTCACCGGTTTGAATCCCGAATCGAGAAAAAAATTGATTCCATATTACAGTCTACGAATCAGAAATCAGGATAAGGAATTTTGTTAACCCGAGAGAAGGTGTTAGGCATTTCCGAGTTCCGTGGTTCTAGCACGGTCGCTTAACTGTTATTCCGGCTTAATTATCTGATTTTAGTACATGCTCAAACCTATATGCATTTTTACCTTGTATCCGCCTTTGATTATCATTATTTTATAAGAATTGCAACGTCGTGAAAACACATCTTAAACCACGTCACATCAATGTACCCGTGATCATTGACATATTTCGACTCCATTGAGATTTGAATTTGGGTCACATAAATGTGTACCCGAGTTTAAGAAGGTAAGAATTATTAAAATACGCGCCTAAAGAGTCTAACGCGTTATTATTTTGGAAAGGCCGTGAAATTCGCTAAATGGCCCCTCCCGAAATCTAAGTATTTTTGTATATACAATTAATGAGGGCCCCGCAGTTTATGCGTTTTATTTGGTGAGGCTCGTCTCATTCTTTATTTAAGGATATCCTAAAGTGACTATGATTTTTCTATCTATTTTTGTCTCTAATAATAAAAGGAGAAGTCCTAATTAATTATAGTTCAATAATTAGTACTTGGGCCTATTGGACTCATGTGAAACCAAATCTTTTAATCATTCTTGCCCATAATGAAAAATAACGCTTGCCTGCTCAATCTAATCAACATTTGACCAATTGGATTCTAGACTAAAATTCCTATTACCCTGTTTGTTTAATTGACGATGAATCCTTAAATTCCACTAAATGTTGGATCTACCTTTATACTAAACGACTTGGTTATTTGATTCTGCTAACATTCATGAATAAGTTAAAGGATCCAAATTCAAGTAAACTATTGATATTAACCACTAACAGGCAATTATTTGTTCCTGCATCGAAATAGTGAACTTAACGAACAAAGGAGAGGACATCAAATACTAACATGTTTGGCTACTTTAAAAGCACGCTTAACCTGAAATCGGACTGAGTACCCCATGTTGACTTCTGAATTAATTCTAAGTCTAAACACTACTGGTATTTGATTTTTAACTCAGTGTTAACTGAGATCAGTACTAAACTATACTAAATCTACCACTAATGAACATGAATTAACAGCTTTAAACAGTCCAAATTAGGTACAAACTTCACAGTTTACATTTTATTAAGTTATAGATCAAATTGGACTATACGACTACTTATCATCTATATCTACTGAACTACAGATACAACACCAAATAATTAGGGGGCCCGAACACTTTCATTTCATATTCACATCTTCAGGCTACATCAAATTGAACTCAGTTGTGTACCTGGATTGGAGTGAACAAAGGAATAAAGAAGAAGTCAGCAGCAGTGCAACACAGCAAATAACAGCAACACCAGCAACAGACCAAACCCGGGAATAATGTGATACCAATAGAAACCGACAGCAACAATCAACACACAAATAGTCCCTACTGAACTTGAAATAAACCACAAGACTGATCCAGTAGATCCCAAAAGAAACCCCAGTAGGTTGAAGTCAGGAAGGAATATCAGGATCAACTACTAAATTGGAGGCTGAATCGAGACTCAATGGAACAGTGCCAACTCAACTCACTGGCTGCCTAAACTCCCTCAAAATGCTCTCTTTAACCACTTTTAAAATGATCTCCTTAAACTCTCTAAAAGCTTCCCCCCAATTCTCTTCAAGACCAAAGCAAAAGCACTCTAATTTTTTTAATGAAATAGTGACAATACTAACACTGATTTTCAGCAGTAAAAGAAAACAAATTTCTTCCGTTTTTCCTCAATCTTTGACCTTTTTGGATTTAAAAGCCAGTCGATTTCAGTTTATACTCAGAATCTTTAGTGTTCAAAAAAATCCCCTCCTCTAATTAGTCCCAAATGACTCCTATTTATACCCAGACTCTACTAACTGTCCAGCTACTAAGAGCATTTCAAAAATCAGAAAACCTTTTCAATATTCCCTGACAGCCACTACAGTATGTCTTGTTTTAATTCAGAGGTTATGGGTACTAATTGTTTAATCACTACCTTTTAACCCTCCCATACTATTCTTGATTATTCTATAAGCACTCAACAAGAACTGTCAGTACCCATCATCCCTTAACCTTATTATTTTATTGTCTAACATGGGCAGTCTGATTTAAATTTCAAGCGTGCCCTGACTTCTGATTTTTGACCTTAAGAGTGTTTTAATCAGTCATCAACCCCCCATTACTGATTAAACTATTTCATTAGTTTAATCAGTTCACCATTTCCTTAATCTAATGGTTCATCAGTTGGAAGCTCACAAAAACAAACCAAAGAACGCCATTAACTAATCTGTTTCAACAACATTCAAGCACCAAAACCAATCAATTACAGAGATAAAACGAAATGAAGCCAATGAGACGACACCTATGCCATCGACTATACAAATTATGACATTTAACAGTTAACAACAAACAACAGGGTGATTCATGCGGCTTTGGACAAAATACAGAACTTATAAACTAACTATTCGACGAAGCTATTAAAATTGATTCAACGATTATAACAGTGACAATCGACAACAAACAGAAGCTATGATGAAACTGGACCAAATAAAAGGTCTGATGAGAAGGAGAAAAAATGAATAAAAGATGATGACATACGACGGGGCTTAAAAAAAATAAACGTCAACAAAAATCTACTTATATATAATAGGAGAGGCAAAGCAAGGTTATGATGACAAGTGGCATAACATTAAATTGACATGTGTACATTTTTTGGACAATTCTCCAACTTTGTTGGAGTTTCAAATTTATTTAAAATCGCAATTGGCATAACCACAGTAATTGGAGTTTAAAATTATTTTAAACTAGAAAATAGGCACACACACAAAAAAAAAAAAATAACCTGCGAATTCAAATTCAAACCGTTCACTAATTGAAACCGTTCTTTTCCACTTCTTGCATCTCTTTGTGTTCCAAAATATTCGCACCTCTAATTTTTTGATAACTGTTCTCTCTTTCTCTCTCTTTTTTTTGTTTCTCTTTTTGCAGGTTTTCATAGATTTTCGTTCATGAGATTTTTGGCACCAAGTGCAGGTTATTATGCATCATTGTTGTTGTAGTTATATCACTTAGAATTTTATCATAACAATTCAATGGATATTTATGATTGTGTATATCCTAATGCTGATTTTAGTTTTTTCATGGAAGTGTGTAAGATTCTTTAGGCTATGACGTCATTTTCAAAATTCAAATCTTTTTAATCACATTACTTGAAATAAGAATGTAATAATAATTTGGATCTTAACGTGATCTTCTCCTACATCTACCAATTAATAGTTTATTACGGCTTTGCTTTCTAGGTTATCCCTTTCTTCTAGAAAGAAGGTTTGTGATTTTATTCATTCCTATTGCTAATTTTGCTTTATGCCAGGTTGGATGAAACTTATTTTTTGTCTTATGTAATATTAAAAAAGTCTACATTTTACCCTCTTCTTTTGTGTTTCGATATGTTACAGCTTTTGCTGATAAAAAGAATAACGTTTTTCCTCTTCTTTCAGGCTATTTGTGGGTAATGGGCAGTGGAAGGAGTAATGCAATGCGAGAAAAAGATGAACTTATTTCTTTTATTTTTTCGTCTTATACACTCTTTAAAAACCTACATATTTTCTTCTTCTTCTTTTGTTTTGATATGCTACATCTTTTTCTAGAAAAAGAATAACGTATTTTCTCTTTTTTCAGGCTATTTATATGGAACGGGCATTGGGACAAGTAATGCAATGCGATTAATGCGTATAGAAAAAGAAAGTTGATCTGTATGGATAATATAATTCTTTTACCCTTGCCTTGCAATTAATGCATATAGAAGAAGATTGAAGCTCATTTATATGGACAATATTATTCTTTTATCCTTCCCCTGCAATTAATGTGTATTGAATCTATTGATAAAAGCAAAATATTTTCCCTCTTCCCCTTTTTTCATCATATCTTTTTGCATTTCTTACTCAATTTTGTAAATACCTTCTTCCCGTTCTAACTTTCCTTTAATGCTTCTATGTATTTGGACAAAAGAATTTCAAGAAATTTTGATACGCACAAAGTATGGCTTTATTTTTAGTTTTTGTTGTTATTCAGAAGGTGAATTTCATTCTTTACTTTGTGTTTATGGAGCTGTAACTTTTTATTGAATTTTCTTTATTTCGTTTTAGGTCCATGGCATTTAGAGAGGGGTTCACTGCCAAAAAAATTGCTCGGTTTTCCCTTTTTATTTTTTGGTTTCTTTTTCAGATTCATGCGCTCATAATTAGGATTTACAAAGTTATTGAAATAAAAAACTCTTACATTTTAATGCAAAAAGAAATTAAAAAAAATTATGTTTCCTAACAATTTTGGTAACTGATATATATGCGATAAATTTTGTTTTTCGTAGATTTTGGCTATCTTTTTCATTGAGTTGTAATGCCACAAGATTTAAAATTGAGTAATTATACCTCCTAAGATTTTGGTAACTGATTTTATCTCCTAAATTTTGGTAATTGATACATATAGATTAACTTATTTTTTGCAGCTTGGCTATCTTTTTAATGGATGTTTTATGCAATAAATATTAAAAATTTATTATATCTCCTAAAATTTTGGTACTTGATACATATTTAAAAGCACTTCAAATAAAAATTATGTTCATTTTATTTTGTTTGGTCCTCCCTTCATATTATTAGTAATTCGAGTACATCAATTCAACGTAACTTTGAGAGTAGTTTTCACGTGTAACTAGGATTATAATGGATACATACAATTTTAATTTAAAAATAAAATAAATGATAATGAAAAAAGAAAAAGACACAAAGAAATGAACTTACCTAAAATAACCTAAAATTTTCTATTAACAATATAACAATACTAAATATTGTTTAATATAATAAAAAAAAATACAAAATAAAAAAGTTATTCGATGACAGCATAACTCCCTGTAATTTAATAGAGATTTTATTATTGAGTATATCGTATTGACAAATAAAATAACAATTGAAATTTATTGAAACAACACAGTCTAATATGTTCAAACATATCCGATCATAATTTAAATAAATTAATATTTTTTACTATTGAATTTTTATACTCCAACTCAATTAACATCAAGATGGACTTCCACGTTTTTTGGGCATTTGTTTTATCTATATAGAAAAACATAAGCAAAAGCATCGAGATTACGCCAGCCAAGTGGCAGCCTAATAATAATCCATTTGGCATTGCTCAAGACAATGCTTCACAAAATAGGAATTAGAAAGTTATTTGGAAAAAAAAACTCCTTAATGCAAAAAATAAAAATTAAAATCTCCAAAATTTTATAACTTATACATGTGCGATAAAAAAATTTCCCGTAGATTTTGGTTATCTTTTTAATTGATTTTTAATGCCACAAAAATAAAAAATAATTATATTTCCTAAGATTTTGGTAACTAATTTTATCTCCTAAAATTTTGGTAATTGATGCATATGGGTTAACTTATTTTTGTAGCTTTTGGCTATCTTTTAATGGATTTTTAATTCCATAAAAATTTAAAATTGGTTATATATCTTAAAATTTTGTCAACTAATACATATTTAGTAACTTAGAAAATATTTTAAATAAATATTATGCTCATTTTGTTGTTGTTTATTCCTCCTTTCATCTTATTAGTAACTCGAACATATCAATTCAGCACAACTTTTTGGGTAGTTTTCATGTGGAACTAGGATTTAAAAGGATAAGCACACTTTTTATTTTAAACAAAGAAAAGAGAAAAAAGAAAAATTAAAAAAGAGAAAAATAATTAACTTACCTAAAATTAACTACTCAGGCGTAGGTAACGGTTGGTTTAGGTTAGTTAATTTCTTTGTTTCTTTTTCTTGAATCATTTTCTTTTTATTTTTGAAATAAGAAGTGTATCTATTTATCAAAATTCAGATAATATTATTGATAGAATAAAATTTAAAACGAAATAATATTTCAAGATTAATAAAATATATATCTTCTATTATATTAAGAGGAGTAGCGGATAAAAATATTAAACAAAGAAATATGCTAATAAAAATTTATATTAACAATGTTGTAATACTAAATATTGGATAATATAATATAATATAAAAAAATATAGAGCAAAAACATTATTCGATGACTATATAAGTCCTTTTTTTGTTTAATAGAGATCTTATTATTGGGTATATAGTATTAACAAATAAGATGACAATTGAAATTTATTAAAATAATACGATCTAATATGTTCAACCAAATCGATCACAATTTAATTAAATTAATATTTTTAACTAGTAGAAAAGAAAAAAAAAGAAGGAAGATACCTCAAAATTACAGGCTAACTCCGCACGGTTCCCCTTTGAATTTCGACTCGAACTTTTGAGGTCCAAACGGACCTTAATCGAGTGTTCTCGACTGAGAACATTCGACTAAGGTCGATTAGAACGTCAAATTTCCCCTTAACTCGGACAAATTCCTGTTTCGGTTTTTCTAGGGTTCTTTGGTTCGATTTGGGATTCGAACAGTTCTAGCACGATTCGAGCGGAACCAAAGGTGGTTTGGGCACGAGGGAGGTCAGGGGGTGCCGTGGTGTGAGTTTGGGGTGGATTGAGATAGGTCCAGGTTTTGCTCGAATCTTCAGATGAAGATTCGAGACGATGGGGGATGATTCGAAGTTAACGGGTCCGAGATTTGGATTGGGGGTGGTTAGATGCTTAAGGGGTGTTAATTTGAAGGTCATCGGACCTCAGGCCGCCGAGTTTCAGGCGATGGGGATGGGGGCGGCGCTAGGGTTTGGAGGTTG